AATCAACCTCCTCAGCCAACATCAACAGGGCTTTCAGGCTTTCAAGCGCCCGCAGGTCCAAGTTTATCGGCTCCTGACGTTATCCGGAATCGCTGAGGGCATTAGCTGCTAACTTCCTGGGAAACAACAACCATGTCACTGCAACACCTCCTGGTCTTTTCCGCGCAGGTGCACCCCAGCCTTCAGGTACGCCACCGGCGTCAGCCGGGCAGTTGCCGTCCGGGCTAGTCCCCAAACAGGACCCTCGCTAGGATTGCAAACTGCGGCCCCTGTGGGTACGCCGGGTAGCGTGGGAGACCAAAGTACCGTAGCTTTGCAACAAGCGCTCTTAGAGGCTGCGAAGTTTTTTAAAAGGCGAAATGACCCCTGATGAAGACAAGCCCAAAGTCAAAGAAGCTGAAGTGGTCAAGCTCCCAGATTTTCCCAATCCGGAAACCTATTGCTCTTGGAAAACAGCAACAAGGGAAGCAGTAAGGGCTGCGTCTGATAGGCCGGACGATGCTTTTAAGTAAGGTCGCCAAAGGTGAGCTTGCCCGTCAAGTGCTCAACTTCAAAGAGTCTGAGGCAGCAGCGGGCCGGGCTGTAAGGGGTAGGCAAGTTTTGTTTATGTTTGAACAGCATTTCAAAACTAACGAAGCTGCGGGATCTCTTTACTCTGTAGCTGCTAGGTGACGATTTGACCACGTTCCTCTATAACTGGGACTTTGTTGTGGCTGGTTTGAGTCACAAACCCGACGAAACCACGTTGAGAGATATCTTCCTTCGTCAAGTCCGGAAGTCGACCAGAATGAAGTACGATCTGGACATCTATGATCGTGGATGTGCTGGCGCTGAGCTCGCTGAGGCAGGCTGTGGGTTGAGTTGGGTAGCAGATGGAGGTTTATGGCGGACTTCAGAGTTGCTGGCCGGGTACGCGTTCATTCATGTTGCCTTTGACGCTTCGCTGTCGGCTCTTCCCATCAATGAGAATCAGTCGCTGGCCTCACATCTAGGTAGCCCTAGGCCCTAAGCCCGAACTAGATTGAGTCAAGTTAGCCTTCCAAGCCTTCCTGGTCCAGGTCCTGGCCATCGCTGTGCTGCGCGCGGGCTGGCTGACGAACCGGGTTGAGGCCAGCGCATTTTGCGGGTCCGGGGTTTGGCCATCATCGAGGAAGTTCATCATTCATGGACGGTTGTTAGTGTGGACGAGGTTGTGGGTGTAGTGTAGGCCCGGAGGAAAGTGTGTGTAGGACTCTAGGTTCAGGGTTGCCTCTGATCCCACGGACTGTCATGTGTCTCTTCGCTGGCCATGCCCCTAGGCCCTAAATCCCACCTGATGCCTGGTACCATGAAACATGCGTGGCACGGGGCTCGACAGCATCACCGAACCGACATGTTTCATGTTACATGTTCAGATCTCAGCGCGTGGCATAGAATAGGAAGTCCATGAAAGCCATGTAAGCCATGAAAGCCATGTAAGCCATTAAAGCCATGAAACCGATGAAGACGATGAAGGCGATGAAGGCTGCAAAGGCGAGCTCCACGTGGAAGCCGATGAAGGCCGTGAAAGGCCCGAAGGCGATGAAGACCATGAAGGCGATGAAGGCCATGAAAGCGATGAAGGCCACGAAGGCGTTGATGAAACGCATGTCGTTGGGGTTAGTCTGGACTATAGCGCCTGCTTTGATAGAATAGACCCTGAACTTGGTATTAGTCTCCTGCAAAAACTTGGATTGCCCGACGCAATCTGCGCACCCCTGCGCTTCATGTACTCTACTATGCAATGCACGCTGCAGCGTCTGACCCTTTCCGAGCCAAAGTTGGCATAGTGCAAGGTTGCAGCATGAGCATCCTTATGCTAAACGCCATCATGTCTGTCTGGGTTTGGCGGACCAAGGACTCTGTCCCCTCCGGCATGTTGAAAGAGGCAAGGGCGCTCTATAGTCGCCACTATAACCCTGAGGCCATTGCTATCATTCTGCGTCTTGGCCAGCAATTCGATGCCCTCATTAATAGCCAGCTCAACCCTAAGAAATGCCAAATTTACTCCAGAGCGGGCGCTGATGTCTCCAGCGTCCAACAGCTGCTCCCTGGAGCGTCTTGTACGCCCCATGTTTGGACCCTTGGGTTCGATGTGGGGGGTTGAAAGCAGTCAAGTGTTAAAAAACACCCTCAAGCGGGCGGCGTGCCTTCCGTATGAAATGCGCGTTCAGGTCTTGGAGAGTGTATTTACAGCAAAGTGGGCATATGGGGCCTCTGTGCGGCCTCCTGAAGCGCAACAGAGTCAGAACCTCTTGCAATGCTTGGAGCGTGCGATCGCTGGCCAGCGACGCGCAGCTTGGGACAAGGCCCTCTTCTGGGCCGTAGTATACAAGGGTCACCGCTTCATACCCCGCTATGTTGTCCTTTTGCAAAGCATCAGCTTCCTGCGCGCTGTGATCGCCACAGGCTCAGACGAGCTAAAACAGGACGTAGAACACATCCAGCAATGCCTCACTGCGCCCCAGACCAGGCAAGTGCCACACCTTTCCACGTACTTTGCCATTCTTTGAGAGACCTTGGTGGTGCGTGGCCTGCGCTAAACACCATGAGCCTGCCAGGGCCGCTGTCCTTTGACCTCAGCTCTCCGGACTTCTCGGCTGTCAAGCATCACCGTCGTGAGTTTTGCAGACAGCATATCATCAGCACCGTGGGACGTTCGAGCTGGGACATTCCTCAAAATTTAAGTCTACCACTCTTAGCTTCCTTGACAGAGGCATCCTCCGGACGATCCTCATAGGAGCACTTAGACCAGAGATCCAGAAAGATGCACGCGGCCCAGCGAGGGTCCAGTGCATGAGATGTCGCCTTGAGGCAGACACTGCAGGACACCGTTTTTGGAGGTGCCCTAGCACAGCACACTTGCGACATCGCATGCTTCCCACCGGTTTCCGAGAAGATGCCCTGCCTGCAATTTGTACCAGATTCGGTGTTGCCACGTCTGATGTCGACCCGAACTTAATGCACACCGTTCAGCGATACATGATCGCAGCTGTGCGGGCCACATCCGTGGTACGCGCAGCTACTGCGCCGCTTGAGACACCTATTTAACTCCCCTCCTTCTGTGCACGCTGTCTTGCAGAGATGGCAACTCCCGTTTTCTAAACACTAGCTGCTTTTTGCAGCACTTGCACTTCTGCTGCTTTGGCAGCTCCGAGAGCCTCGACATAGACCTCTACACGAGCTATGCCGCGCCTGACCTACCAGGCGATGAAGGCCATGAAAGCACGAAGGAGGTTCAGACAGTGGGCCTTTGCCCACCGGATGATGTGCACTCGGAGAACCCGCTTGACGATGTGCGCATCGTCAGGGACAATGTGGACTGTTGCTCCACGAGTGTGGGGGTCAACGAGAGAGTCCAGAGTTTTTTGTCTTGGATTTGAGATGGTTTGTTTTAAGGATGTTCTTGCGAATGTTAAGACTTGAAACCATATGAATCGTTTGATTTCCCGACCTCCCAGCCATCCCAGCTCAGGCGTGCTGAATGCGGCGACCATTACGTGTGCTGGGCCTGAGCGCGTAAAGATGATCGTGTAATGGAGTGTGGCACAGTGGCTGGCGGCTGGATTTGAGGAGTGGGTTGGTTTTTATTGCCAGTAGGCCCTTGGCCCACCACACCCCCCCCCCCCCCCAGCATTGAAGCAGCCATCGAGAAGAAAGACGGTGTTGTTGCAGAAGACCGCCGAAGCCATCAGCGCCGCAGTCGCCAACACAGACTTCGACTGAAGCCGTCAGTGCCAGCCTCTACTGTAAGACTTTTGAGCCGGCTGCGCTCGTTTAGATGATATCGGGTTCTATTATTAGGCAGCCTAGGCATAGGCCGGGTTAGCTTGAAATAGATTCGGCGTGGAAGAGTGCAGCCGGGAACGACGCTTGGTTTTTGGGAAAAAGAAGCAATTTCAACTTAGCCCAACCCACCCAACCTCCGAACAACTTGGAGGACATGTGCAAACAAGCCGTCGTGCCTTCCAGCCGAGGTAGGATCTGTTGCAACAGAGTGTGGAAGTCCCGGACTCGGCTCTCTCCCAACATCCCTTCCTTTGGACTGCAGGGTTTAGGGCTTTAGGGTTTAGGGCTTGTAGGCTTCTCCAAACATCACATACGTTTTGCAGGAGCCTTTTTTCTGGGTAGTGAGGCTTAGGGCGTGGAATGTTACAATCGTGAGTGGTGAAGCCCTATACCCGTTTTTCCAAACCGAAGTGTTTGCATGTTTCTTTTGCAGGCATCATGTATCCCCGCCGGTGTCTAATTTTTCAAGCCGGTGCGCGGCGATCGATGCTTAGGCCGATCCAGAATTCAAAGGATCATCGCAGAGATGAGCTTAGCAACTTTCGAAAACACATGCAGTGGATGTCCATTTGCCGGTTTGCACATAGCGCGCCTCATCGATTAGACATCATTCGGTGAGGGGGGTATAGTTTATCTTCGGATTCTGTGCTCATTTTCCATGTTGTGCATACCGATGTGTTACTCGTTGCTACTATGCTCAATCAGCCCTCTGGAAAAAGTATAGCGCGCATGCTTTCCATGGCTTAACGGTATTTTACTGTTGCGTGGTGGTCAAACCTGAATCTATAAAGCTCAGGTAATCCGAGCCCTAAAACTTGTCAACCCTAACACCCTAACTGTCCACCAACACTTGTCTGTGCTCAGAGAGGCTCTAAACCCTGAACCCAAACCCCAGACCCAAAGCCCCAAACCCAAAAGCCCCAAAACCCCAAACCCAAAAACCCCAAGAACCCGATGAGGTCCTCCTCCCCATTGTCGCCTGTCACCCGAGAGAGGAACCCCCCCCCCCTCCAAGCTAGACCACGGTTTAGGAAGTTTGGGGTGGGTTTAGGGTTTAGGGTTTAGGGTTTTGGGCTCCTTTGTTTTTCTTCTGCTTCTTCTTCTTCTTCTTCTACGTCATACTTCGTTACAGCATGCAGACTCCCGAAATCCCAAACACTAAGCCCTACAACCTAATCCCTAAGTCCTAGCCAATGCTGCCCGCGGAGATTCTGGCGCTGGAACCTCAATCTGCAGGCCTTGAGGCCACTCTGCAGATGTTCTTGGCGCAGAGAGAGCCCCCCCCCCCCCTACACCCCCCTCTTAATTAAGGGATTATACCTACTGTGTACCTTAGTTTTTTTTTTCCATATAGGGATCCTAAAGACAAGGTAAAGGTTCCATTCCTTCCATTCAGGAGGAGGGAGGGGGATATGTGGGGCTCTGTGGGGGCTTAGGACCCATATTGGGCTCTCTTTGGGGGGGGTCTGGGTTTTTGTGGGGGGACAATTATAGGGGGGGGACTGAAGGGTGACAGGGTTTAAGGGCAGAAGCGTTGTGGGGTTTTGGTTTTGGGGGGCAATTATAGGGGGGTCGCGGGGTTTGGTTTTGGTTTTGGTGGGGGGGGGGTGGGGGGTTAGAATTCGCGGCAGCGGCTAGTGGGGCTGAGGGCTTCTGTAAGAGCACGTCGGACGCCCTTCGTGTTGACACGCTGCTTCGGGATTTTACTAGTTGCTTTCGACTTTATGAATGTGAGTGCTGCTTCCTGAGTCTTGTCATTGGTGTTCTTCTTGTTGCTATTCTGATCCTATTGTAAATATCATTGCCATCATCATCGTCATCATCACTACCACCTGTATCTCGGCATCACTACTTTCATTGATGAAGTTGCGAGTACCATCACCGCAAAAATGACATTATGTGGGAAGCTTAATTGTTGGCCGCTGCGGCGAGGTCGCGTGTGAGGCATTAGAATGCCTGAAGCCCGACTTGTGCGGTAATTGTGTGTAAGGAGGTCCTGACGACTGCGAGCCGGTTTTGGAGTAGTCAGGGAGTAGTGCTCTTCTTTGCAGTCTGGACCCTAAACCCTAAACCCAAAACCCTGAACCCTGAACCCTAAACCCTAAACCCTAAACCCTAAACCCTAAACCCTAAACCCTAAACCCTAAACCCTAAACCCTAAACCCTAAACCCAAATATTACGCACTCCAAACGCAGCCTCCTGATCGACAGTTTCTGCCTGCTGGAGGCGTACTTTGCCCGCCTGGGCTTCCAACATATCGAGGACGGGCCAACCGAGGTCTTGTGGTTTAGGGTTTAGGGTTTTAGGGTTTAGGGTTTAGGGTTTAGGGTTTAGGGTTTAGGGTTTAGGGTTTAGGGTTTAGGGCTCATGGTGCAGCTTAGCTTTCATTTTGCCGTTGCCGGGTCTGCCTGCCAGTGGGTTAAATGTTAAACCTGCTACGGACGCTAAACCCTAAACCCTAAACCCTAAGCCCTAAACCCTAAACCCTAAACCCTAAACCCTAAACCCTAAACCATAAATATGGCGTTTGGCGTTTTGAACCTTCCGGGGCTCTCCGACAGGAAAAGGCACGGCATAGGTTCCAGAAGCGCCACGAACCACAGAGTGTGGGCAGGATGCTAATTTGTAGCCCCCACGCGTGTTTTCGTGCGCTTTTGCCACCCTACCTGCGTCGTCAGAGCTTTCGTTGTAGGTATCTGCGATTTGCGGAGTGGCGCCCGAAACCCTAAACCCTAAACCCTAAACCCTAAACCCTAAACCCTAAACCCTAAACCCTAAACCCTAAACCCCAAACCCCAAACCCTAAACCCTAAACCCTAATCGGTTCTCGTGGTTGCCAGTGTCTTTCTGGATACAGGGTGGGGCGATGCCCTATTCGGTGCGGAGGGATAGCATGTCCAGATTGAGGTCCCTAAACAGCAGCAGCCGCATGCCCTGCGGTTTAGGGTCTAGGATTTAGGGTTTAGGGTTTAGAGGGTTGATGGTTTAGGGTTTAGGGTTAGGGTTTAGGGGCTTGAGGGTTTAGGGTTGAGGGTTGAGGGTTTGGGGTTTAGGGTTTTGAGTTTAGGGTTTAGGGTTTAGGGTTTGGGCATTTGCGATTTTCGCTGGTCGGACGCATCTACCACTCACACTCTCGTGTGTCTTTTCAAGATTTCCCGGTGTCTCGTCAGGGTTTCGGGGTTCACACCCTGAACCCTGAACCCTGAACCCTGAACCCTGAACCCTGAACCCTGAACCCTGAACCCTGAACCCTGAACCCTGAACCCTGAACCCTGAACCCCAAACCCCAAACCCCAAACCCTAAACCCTAAACCCTAAACCCTAAACCCCAGCTCGTCGAAGCCATCCAGGAGCTAGATCCCTACCTCTGGATCCCGTCCGGGGCCCTGCCCGGCGGGGACGTAGACGTCCGCTACTTGCTGGCTCCTCGCATGCAGTGGAGAACTAGGGTTCAGGGTTTAGGGTTTGGGGTTTAGGGGTTAGGGTTTGGGGTTTTGGGTTTTGGCTTGGGGCCCAGGGTCTCTGAGGGTCTAATCTTAACTTAGCACGGACCTTTGCCAGACTAAGTACACTATTTGTCACTTACCGTCCTCCTTTCATGGTCCGGGCAATGCTCAGCACGTGACGTAGGGTTCACGGTTCAGGGTTGAGGGTTTAGGGTATAGGGTTTAGGGTCGGAGCAGGAGTCTCTGACACGAGCCATGTCCTTCACAATTACGTGTCAGTTCATCAAGTCAGCCACAGACACGGGTTAAGCCAACCAGAAGCTATGTTCATGAGCCTTTAGAGACATTACGAAGTGACGTTACCCTGCTGCTGCTTAGCGCGACCCACCCACGACGACAGGCTCTAGCACTGCGACGATCAAACTTAAGCCCTACCCCCCCAGACCTTAAACCGTAGACAGGGCCTCTGCTCGCAAACAGCCCAAGGTTCAGGATCAGGACTACCAGAGGCTCGAGCCATTTGGGGGTTTTCGGGTTCAGGGGAGGTTTGCTTCCTCGAACCCCTAAACCCCAAACCCCACACCCTAAACCCTGAACCCTAGACCCCAGACCCTAAACCCTAAACCCTAAACCCTAAACCCTAAGCCTTCTCGGAGCTCACCCGGATCCCCGCTTGTGGGCGTCTGGGGGTTTTCAGGGATGCTGGGTTCGCCTGCGGCGAGCCACGGGTCCCATGACTTCGCATGCACATGCTCAAGATAGGTATGTAGGGGTTTAGGGATGAGAGTTGGGGTTTGGGGGCTTGGCCTCCTGCAAAACCCTCAGACAGGGGCGCGGGTTCTCCGAAAGCCTGAGTCCTACACCCATTCTGAACCCTTAAGCCAGAAGCCGCCCGAAAGCCACCAGCATCCCAACACATGCACCCTCAGCGGCGCCCTAAACCCTAAACCCTAAGCCCTAAACCCAAAACCCAAAACCCTAAACCCTAAACCATAACCCCTAAGCCTAAACCCCAAATCTGGCGCCGTGTTCTCTGAGGTTGCCGAACCCGAAGGGCTTTAGGGAGGATTTCCGTTTAGGGCAGATCCCCTAACATAACCTCTAAACCCTAAACCCTAAACCCTAAAGCTTGTGGAGAACTATAGGGTTTAGGGTTTAGGGACAGATTCTCTGAGCTGAATGAGGCTGCTGGCGGCCTTCAAGCGGCCACCCGCATGGACCGGCGTCACCGAGGATGCATCAGAGGGCTAGGAGGGTTCAGGGTGTTTAGGGTTTAGGGTTTAGGGTTCGGGTTTAGGGCTTAGGGCTTAGGGTTTAGGGTTTAGGGTTTAGGGTTTAGGGTTTAGGGTTTAGGGTTTAGGGTTTAGGGTTTAGGGTTTAGGGTCTAGGGTCTAGGGTTTAGGGTTTTGAGGGTTTTGAGGGTTTTGAGGGTTTTGAGGGTTTTGAGGGTTTTGAGGGTTTTGAGGGTTTTGAGGGTTTTGAGGGTTTTGAGGGTTTTGAGGGTTTTGAGGGTTTTGAGGGTTTTGAGGGTTTTGAGGGGTTTTGAGGGGTTTTGAGGGTTTTGAGGGTTTTGAGGGTTTAGGGTTGGGGTTAAGGGTTTAGGGTTTAGGGTTCAGGGTCTAGGGACTACTCATTAATTCCGAGGGCAGCTCCCCTGAGCTCCCCAAAGCCCTCAAAAACCCAATAATGCTTCCTCTTAAAAATCTCAACCCTAAGCCCTGAACCCTGCAGCTTCCAAACCGCCCTGCCATGAATGTTTGGCAGGAGATCTTCCTCAGTGCGCGGCAGGTGGCATCCTTTCATGGGTTTGGGGTTTAGGTTTTGGGGTTGAACCCTCCAAGGGTTAAGGTTTTAGGGGTTTGGGCTTGGGAGGTCGGAAGTACGGGAACCACGAAACCCCGCAACAGCTGCGAACAACCTTTGCAAACGGCGAGCTCCCTCAAATCAAACTCAGACCTGGGTTGAGTCGAGATGGCCAGGGAGTAGGGTTGGGGGTTCACGTTTTAGGGTGTACGTCTTAGGCTACATCAAGGAGACCCCAAAAAGTCCCTTCATGGTCCAGATGCGCCTTTTTCAATCACGGCCTGAATCCCCGGAAGCCCTATGAACTTTATTACCGGCCCAGACCCACCCCTTCGACCCGCACAGGACACCACAGCCCTCGACGTCATGGCCCTGCGCGTGTCGAGCCAGGAGGGGACCCGAAACCCGAAGCTCTAAACCCATGAAAGGGGAATAAGCCCTTATATGGTTGCGCCCCGGCGGGCCCCCCCCGGTTAGGGTTTCCCTTGGGGGGGGTGGGGGGATGCAATGGGGGGGGGGGGGGGGGCAGAACGCACAGCGCACAACCATATATAAGTCCTAGCCCTCTGGGCCCTGAGCCCAAAACCCCAAACCTCAAAACCTAAACCCAAAACCCCCAAACCCTACACCCTAAATCCTAAACCCCCAAGCCCCAGAACCCCAAACCCTAAGCCGCAATTCCCATGCAGCCCCTGCGTCTGCAACCCTAAACCCTAAACCCTAAACCCTGAACCCTGAACCCTGAACCCTGAACCCTGCACCCTGAACCCTGAACCCTGAACCCTGAACCCTGAACCCTGAACCCTAAACCCTAAACCCTAAACCCTAAACCCTGAGTCCCAAGCTTCCAGGGCACCAGCCGCCGCGCCTTCGCGCGGCGGCTCCAGCGGGAGGCCCCTGGTCGGCCATACAAGGCATGAGTGGAGGGACGAGGGTTTAGGGTTTAGGGTTTGGGGTTTGGGGTTTGGGGTTTAGGGTTTGGGGTTTAGGGAGTTTCGGGTTCTTGCGA